GGCTGGTGATTTTGAACCACCAGCCTTCTGGTTAGCAGTCAAGTGCCTTAGGGACTATGTTACCAGAGCTCCTCAGACAACATATAGCACTGGGCTAATCAGCTACAAAGGACCTCTTTCAAGTGCTGAAGAGCATATATGTCTCCTTGAGGACTAAGGTGCGCCTGACACAAGCCATGATACTTTCAATCACCTCATATGCATGTGGGGAGCTCTGTTTCACTTTTTATCCCATGACCTACATTTATCTTTAGTTGATAAAATTAAAACATTTTATGGTGTAAAATTTGGGAATGTTTACTTTGTCATTTTTAAATATCATTTTTTCCTCAAAAAATTTTAGAAAATAAAACATTTAAACATAATTACTTCCTCTTATTTACTTTTCAATTTCTTTGGTGGGATATACAGAATAAAAGGAGCTCTTGCAGTGCAGCAGTTAAAGCATTTGGCTGCAAACCAAAAGGTCGATGGTTCAAACCCACCAGCCACTCCATAGGAGAAAGGTGGGGCAGTCTGCATCTGTAAAGATTCAGAGCCTTGGAAATCCTGTGGGGCAATTCTAGTCTGTCCTACATGGTTGCTATGAGTCGTAATTGACTTGATGGCAGTGGGTTTATTTTGTCTTTGCTTGTTGTACAGAATCAGATGAACACTATTGAACTTTTGATTGAAGATGACAAGCAGAAGAGTATTCAAATAGAACTACTCAAGCAAGAAAAAGTCCAACTTATTTCCGAGCTAGCTGCCAAGGAATCACTAATTCATGGCTTAAGGACAGAAAGAAAAGTATGGGGACATGAGCTGGCACAACAGGGTAAATTCTCATTTTCAAGAAAAAATGGCTGTTACTCTTTTAGGCCAACGAATTTAGGTATTGGATAGAGGAAGGGCTTAACTCTGCATAGAGAAGCCAAATATGGTTTTTCCAAAGAAGGCAACTCAATCTGAAGGACAGTTTGTCAGTCAAATAGGAGAGAAATGCCTCTTAGATAGTGGGGAATGATTTGTTATAGCAATCAAGAAATTATACCCCTGATTTACTTTATGTTTTCTTGCCGCTATAATTTGGCCAGTTTTCTAACAAGTTGCAAAAACGGCAAGGAGGCCACATGTCCCGACCTCCTCTAACCCTGCAAGAGGAAGACAGGATTACCAGCAGTAACCCAAGGCCTATTCCTACAAGGCCAGACATG